GGCCTTCCCTCCAGCCAACTCTTGATTTTTTCTTACTTTTCCTTTTTATCTTTACTGCTGTTCTTGTTTGATTATTATGTATTTGTCTATGTTTTATTATTTGATTTTATATTTGGAAGCCGCCTAGAGTGGTCCGGTGGGCCAGATAGGCGGGGTATAAATTAAATAAATAAATAAATAAATAAATAAATAAATAGGTTCTGCTCCCCACAGAGGGCACACATATTTCTTTTCCCCTACTGTCATCCCTTCCACAAGTTTTAAACATTTCTGGAATAATATGAAGCCCTACACACTTGTTTACCAGATTCAAAAAATTTGATAAACATACATATGACAAGCAATCCTCATCCTTTCAAACTATATTACATTTTTTTAAAATACCATAATCGGCCAGAATGTTGTTGGTTAGTTATGTCAATGCAAATGCAATGGTGAAAACTGCTATACGTGAAATGCTAGAGAATTGCTCCCTCACCATGTGCTACTCCTGTGAACTGATTCATGATGAGGGCCAATTTTTTAAACAGCAGCTACCCACCTCAGCAATTACTACCACGGCACTTATGCAAGTATAATTGACTGACAGGATTCTGCTCATGGAATGGTGCTTGTTGCCCCTAGCCCTTCTTCTCCCCTCCCCAAATGAAAAATGTAATTGTCTTTACTCAACTCAATTAACCTTGCCTCTCCCTTTCAAATGCATCTTTGAATCCTGTGTCAAGGAATTCTTTTGTGTTCACCTTGTTGCCGAAAACAGCTACAGGAAACTATAATCATGACTGTAGCCTGTAGGGACAGGAGAGGAAAGGTTTAATTCTTTCCTCTGTGCTGTTTTCCTTTTGCAAACTGTCTTCTGAAGTTGCTATTTTCATCATCATCATCGTTCTTTATTATGGTGACCATAATGCCAGCAAGATTATAAGAAAACAGAACATACAGAGAGAACTCCTATCTGTAGCATATGAATCCTTCTTTCAGCGTGATTGCAACATTTTCTCTCTAGTTCTCATAATGCTTTCAGGAAAGAGTAGCTCTCAAGGATGGGATTTGCAATGGGAAAAACATCTGGGAAAGAGGGTGTACCATGACCAATCCTTTTCTTATGAGTCCTGAGTCTTGATCTAGATCAGGCCCATACAGCTGTTTTAAATTTTAAAACGGGAATGCAGTATCCAAGGATGGACAAAGTGAAACTGATGCCCTGACTGGTCCTCAGTTTCTGGCCCGCTCAAGATGACTTCAGCAAGGAAGCAGTGCAACTTACTGGAACAGTTACCTTTCTTTAGTAATACCACAGTAGCATCACAGTTGCTGTTATCATCCATCTCTGTGTTACTTGCCAATCCATTCACCAGGTTTGTCACATTCTTTGTCCTCTTTTCAAATATACGTTGTAGACTGGAATTAAACCTACATCAAACAGGAAGGAAAAAAAATTCTTCTCAGTAATTGTTCAGTTTTCCTAAAAGAGCCGGTTTTCTGTTGGTGTTTTGACAGGCAACAAGACTTTTCTTGAAGATATCTGGTTTTTAGAACCTGGAGGAACAAGGCTTGAACTAGCTTAGGGTTAAGTGCACATGTGGGAATTGTCTATACTTTGCCAATCAGCAATTCTTCCCCCGAAGGAGAATAGATGGGGAAACTTCAAAATGTGAGCCCACAAGAAATAAGCCCAAGATTTGTGTTATATCCCATCATCTAGCACAACCCATCATCCACCAGCAATACCGCTCCAGATCTGTGCAGATGAAGCTGCACACTTTGGCCAGGCACCGCAAGATAACACACTGCTTCTGGCCTAATCACTCACAGTCTCCTCTGTGGTGCTACCTTCCATGTGTCTTTGGAGGGGGTGAGGGAGAAGGCTACAGAACAAACAAAACATTCTGGGATTCTGTGGCTGTTTGGATGGGCCCCCCCAGCATCTCTGATTTGGACTTCTTGGAACTAGTATTTTGCCTCTTGCAGCTGAAGGAACTGCAAGTCTGGTGTAGTGTTACATACACATTACATGGCTCTGTGTCTGGCAAGTAACCAAATAACCCAAGGCAGCTCTACTCAGTCCTACACAACATTACAAACAGCCACTCTTTCTCCTTAAACAGTGAGGATGTTCTGACAGGGTGAGGCCCTGCTCTCCATCTTTCCCTGGAATCTGATCTTTCATTTGCTTTGGAAGTTGTTGAAAGCCTTGGCCTCTCACTTCCCCTACTTCCTCCAGGCCTCAAGGCTCTGACCTTTGGGATTGCTAAGGAACCATCATAAGTAGCCACCTCAATTTCTCTTTGTTCCATGATAATGCTGGAATTCAAATCAGTTCTAATTTTAGTCTTCTAGTGGCTACTGACGGTAGAATCACAGCCTAAATCTCAAGATGCAGAGATACTTTTTGAGTGTGTGATTTACCACTCCTGTGATTTCAGCAATATTGTTTTTCTGTTGTAACAAAATAGAAATGTTGGGCCTTGGGTTTTGTTTACCAAACGTTATGTCTGGAGGCAGCACTCTTTTGATTCATCCAGTTAACTTTTTCTTCTCTGGAATGATCTAACTATTTTAAACACCCTCAAACAATAAGCAAACAAGGCTGTGTTATACTTACTTCATGATGAGAATGTAGACGACGTACATCAGCACTAAAATTAAGGACTCCCACCTGCAGCCAGTCCAGGAAGAAAAGAAATGCAAATAAGGAAGCAGGCATCTAAAAACAATCCCTCACCCTTCCTTCCTCTTTAGAAAGTGTACCCAAGAAATCCTTAAAATTCCAAGGCCAGCCTTAAGGGTTGGCTAACCATGCCCCACACCTGCAATCATCTGAAATGGAACTACAGTGGTGCCCCGCTTGACGATTACCCCACTTGACGCTGAAATCACTTCATGACGATGTTTTTGTGATCGCTATTGCAATCGCAAAACAATGTTTCAAAGGGTGATTTTCGTTTTACAACAATCAGTTCCCTGCTCCGGGAACCGATTCTTTGCATTACGATGATCTAAAAACAGTTGATTGTCAGGTTTCAAAATGGCTGCCTGCTGTGTAAAATGGCTCCCAGCTGTTTTCAGGACTGATTTTTCGCTTTACAGGCACCGGAAAATGGCTGCCCTATGGAGGATCTTCGCTGGACGATGAGGTATTTCGCCCATTGGAACCCATTAACCGGTTTTTAATGCGTTTCAATGGGTTTTTCCCCCTGCTTGATGACTATTTTGCTCTACAGCGATTTTAACGGAACGGATTATCGTCGTCAAGCGGGGCACCACTGTACCACTAACATTTATATATGGATTATAAAGAAAGGGTGGGAATTGAGCAACCATGGGCCATAGATATCGCAACAAGGCCTTTTTTGTACAGTCAGAAGAGTCCACACATAGCCCATCAGGGGCCTGTAGCCAAGGAAAGAGCTGGAAGTTCTCATCTGGGAGCGTACTTGGAAGGCTTCCTTAGGAGAACAAATCAAGGCCCATGAATGTTCTGGGGGCAGAGTCCTGAGGAGATCCAGGAAGAGGCAGAGAGGTTAACTCCATCACAAAACCATCAGTCCCCAGTTTCTCAGTCCTGAGACACATCTGAGTAGGACCTCTTCACTTGGCTCTGCAAAATCAGTTCTGGCTACTAGGACTCTGCTGGACAGCTCCCCTACCAGGCCTGCTGGCCAAGAAACTGCTCCGGATAATCAGTGCCTGCTGGACAGCTCCCTGGCTGGCCCAGGTCTTGTTCAGTGCTTACTTTTGCCATTGGGGACTTCAAGATTGGTGGAAAGTGACGGCCCCTCAAACAGCTGGCCATTTTGTCCTAGTAAGAGCATTCTTAGAGCTGCAGCCATGGGCCACATTACCTAATTTAGTGTTGGCTTGGAAGAGAGCAAACAATGGTGCAGCTAACTCCTCCTTTCCACAGGTAGCTAAGTAGCTTCCAAATGAAAGCAGCTTGATGTCTCTTGCTACAGAGAGAAGGATCAGTGTATCATAGATCTTCACCTTATTAGCAATGACGTCATGTTTATTTTAGTTCTAAAATGCTCCCTTCCTGATCTATTGCCTCCTAGTTCCAATCTCCTTTTGGCTAACATCTCACTGTTCTCTCTCTCTCCTCTTTCCTAAATTCATTTGTTCATGTTCCCTTTGTCCTCTTTGTACACTTGCATTTCAATAACACCTTCCTGAAAACCCCACTCTGCTCTATTTCTTAAAGGAAACTGGGCACAGGCAACAGTTTTCAGTGATGGCAGGTTTTATTGACCAGGGACACACACACATTATTTATTTTTATTGACCAGGGATGGAAAAAAAGCTTATCTTCTGGATAGCTCAGTGGTTTAGGTATCTGCCTGTGAAATCAGAAGTTGGCAGTTAAATTCTCTACTGTGCCTTCTTGACAGGGGACTTCCAGCTCTGCAGTTCTAAGATGGTGATGACGATCTCAATTTCTATCTGTGCATGTCATTTGCATATTGATGTAATACTTCAGAACTTGGGAAAACCCATTTCCTGAGAGATTCAGGAATCACAGGGAAGTCATGGAGACTCATTCACAATTTCATACTGATGATCACATGACCAGAAGAGGCAGAAGTTATGGCTAGTACTGGGATGGTTCACCGAAAAGCATTTTTGGTGACATCTCCTTGATTATAAATTTTTTCTACTTTTGATACTGTCATCCTGGATGCAAATTCTTCAAACTGTGTGATGATGTTCTAGACAGACCTTATCATTAGGCAGCCAGAGATGGCTGTCTCAGGTGGTAAAAAGTGGAAGATACAGAGGAATAACTGTGCACCAGGCAGTCTGACTTGCACCTCTAAACTAGCCTGCCAGCTTCAGATGTGGTGGGAGACAGATTATGTATACGTTTTTTTAAAAACATAAAATGGAAGTCTATTATCTTGTTCTTTGTTTCAGGCTGCAAAATGTTTTGGGCTAGTCATAGTCATGTTCACATATCATGCTTATATAAGCCCAGTATCTTCAGTGGAAGTTGGCGTGGGTGTGCGGAACTAACCAGATGACCAGCAAGTACTGGAGGAAAGAGAAATTTTGCTATCAACTCTAAAAAAATTCATGAGTCACTCCATTATTTGGGTCTCCTACAGGGAGGGAAATTGGTCCCTGTGCTACTCAGCAGAACATTTGCTTCTATTACTTCTGTGAGTCAGAAAATGGTAACTGTACTACTTACCAAGTAACCTCTTCATCATAAATAAACTGTGGAGAAAAATTTAAGAAGTCATTATGCCACATGGAACTCTCTATAAAGTAAGGAATACTTTAAAAAGAAGCAAACATTAACATTTCCCATCACTGCTTTGTAATGCTGACCAGTCATCTGAAATTATTTCATACAGTCCATGCCTTAGCTCCAAAAGACTTTTTAAACCTCTGTAATGTGCAGTGCACTGTTCATTAGAGACAAATAAATCTTTTAGAACCAACAAAATATATCATAACTGAAAAGCAGAAAACATTCACTTTTTAACATAATTACCTATTTAGCAGTTTGTCAGCTTTCAAATAAATATTTTGTGTACTCACCCATACTAAATCTCTAAGCAACCACATGATGGTTACAGAAGGTTTTCGCATGACACCTCCTGGATACAAACACCAGTGAACAATCCTGAGTCTTTGTATAGGGAAGGCATGTCTCACTGAATTATAACTTTTCTACAAAAATCTCAGCTAAACAAGCAGGCCTGGCATTGATGTAGTTTATAAGACTCCCCGTCTCCTAACTATCAACCGATTTGCTACTCTCCTCCAACTCAGCTTTAAACCACAATTCTTAAGGGACACTCCTCTAGCACAGCAGATCCTTTATAGGGCAAGAATACTTAGGTGCTAAAGAGAGTCAATGCACCCACATGGTAAACAAAAAGGTTACTGTTACATTCCAAGACATTTTGATTTTTTAGAAGCTGCTGGAGTGGCAGGAAACAGAACTGGACTAGAGTAGTGACACTGGGAGAGAGGATGATCAGTGCTTTCCCTTTAGAAGGACGGATGATTTGTTTCAGGAAAATGCATGGGCCATAGAATAGAGGTGGTGAGAAGGGCTCAGATCCCTGTAACCCTACTTGAGTTGCTGATTCCACCCCCACAACTGACTCTTGCATAGTGGAGCCTCCTCAGGAATTATCAAGCAGACATGCACAAAGTGTTTTGGCATTGCTTATGATTTTTGCATGGTATTTGATCTTTTTTAGCATTTCTCTACTCACTATTGTTAGCTCTAATATTGTCTTTTAATGAGGGACGCCACCTTGAATCCTTTTAAGAAGAAATACAAGGAAGGGATGGATGGATGGATGGATGGATAAACAAACAAACAAACTCAAACAGAAGGTAAAAAATACTACTATTGTACTTGAGTTGTCATAAGAGTAACAGAGGCTTCAATCAATCCTATTTCATTTATTTGGAATCAAATTCAACAGGGCAAAACAGATTTTTTCCCCTAGGGCCACTGAGGCCAGACCAGGCTATCTCCTGCTTGTGACCACAGCAACTCTCATAGTGCCTACAGCCACACCTGGAAGGAAAACAAGGTACTTCTCCCTATCCATTATGATTCAGTGGGCCCTGCAAACCAAATATTCTCAAAAGAAAACTGAAAACACTTATATCAGGCATGGGGAGCAGAGAATCTCCCAAAACAATCTCCCAAAGGCTGAAAAATCCAGAACATTCATGTGAGTTCCTAAAATTAATTCTCAAGGCAAAAAAGAATTCGGGAAATATCAAAAATATAGAAAATGCACCAGCTCTTTTAAAGGTATGTTTAAACGAGAACAGTGCTTTTGCAGTAAATGTTGCTGAATACTGCGAGTGATATCAGGCACAAAATGCTGATATTTAATAGTCTCTAGAGCACTCAGCTTTGTAACCAACAGTTCTTGTTAAATCTAGAAAATAAAGCTTACGGAAGAGACAGGGCCACTTCCTGGTCTAGACAAAGAGCAGCAAAAATAGCCTTCCTTCTTTCTCAGAACACATGAAGTCAAGTATATCTTAAAAATTGTAGTCAGAGCTACAAGAGGGCAGTGGGGGAGAAGAAACAATGTATCCCTGTATTTGGGCTCCTTCTTAATTAATATAAAACCCCAGTATCATTCAAAGCTTCTACATTCTTCCTCACAACCTTTTTGATTTTCTTGCTGATGCTTTTAGAAATTCATCCCAAACAAACATTGATCCCATGCTGTATTGAGAGACACTAACTCCAGAGTATATACAAAGTACAACACAAACTAGAAAGAAAATATGTTTTGTTTATCTGTCTTGTTCAGCAATGGTTCTGAATACTGCTGCTTTAGTCTTTTGTTCCTCTGTGGGATTTCAACACAAAGATTAAAAATCTATGCTGCAGCCCTGTTTCATCTCACTTATCCTAACTCCAAAAGGTAAGCTGTGCACTGTTTCAGTAAACTTTTTTGAAAGAGTATATATGTTTCCTAGGGCCATAGAGGACAGGATCTACCATCAGCTATTATCACAACAGGTATTATATATCTGTGAAGATTCCCAGTCACCCAGGTGAGGTTCTCTGGAAGTTGAGTCATGGCAACTGGTCTTCTTTCTTATTAGGTTGAAACATTTCGCTATTCATCCAAGTAGCTTCTTCAGTCTGAGGAGAGTTGGTAGGAGATCCCTGATCTATCCTCCACATTGGTTTCACTTCCACCTGGTCTGAATGGGTTGGTTAGATGGACAAAGGACCGGGGGGGGGAGTGAAAAATCCGACTTCTGCAGTCCTTCTCCACCCACTGTTATGGGTTGTTAACAGTCATTAACAGTGGTCTTTCTGGTGGGTGTAGTCCTGAAGTGGGATTTTCACTCATCTCCCCACCCCAATCCTTTGTCCATCTAACGAGCCTATTCAGACCAGGGAGAAGTGAAACCAACCTGGAGAATGTACAGTATCAGGGATCTCCTACCAACTCTCCTCAGACTGAAGAAGCTACAATAGACCCTCAACTTACGGAATTAATCCATATTGGAACGGTAGCTGCAGGTCGAAAAGTCTTTAGGTTGAGTCTCCATTGACCTACAATGAATTGAAAACTGATTGATTCATAACCAGCCGTTTTTGTTTCATTTTGGTTTTTTTTCCGGGCTGTAGGTCGATTCTCCGGCTGCAAGTCGAACCTAAATTTTGCGGCCAGAGAAGTCTGTCACTCGAAAAGTCTGTAAGTGGAGCCGTCTGTAAGTCGAGGGTCCACCGTACTTGGATGAACAGGGAAACATTTCAACCTAAGAAGTCTATTTGCCATGATGCAACTTCCAGATAACAGGTATTATTGTGCTTCAGGGCACACACAGGGAAAAGGCAATGTGCTTTTTCTAACGCCCCCTCTGATATTTTGTAAAAGTAGTTCACATGTTACATTTCCTGTAATTTTTGTTAGTACTCTGGGTGTGCTCTAGATCTAATTTATTTCAATACAATAAACAGTCCTGGTTCAGATATAAGTGGTGTTGTGTGAGATGCAGGCTGAAAAAGACTCTATTTATATACTGCTAAACATATTTTCAATTTAAAATGTATTTCTTTTATTCTGTAGTCATAGTGACAGCATAATTTATCAATGCAAAAACAGATTTTAATTGGATTAATTCTTAACAAGAGCATTAAGAAAGAACCAATGAGGAAAAAAGTCTTGACTAGTGTTGCAGGTTCATAAATTATATTAAGAAGAAGCCTATATATAGAAGGGTGGATTTCCTCTTCCTTTTATTAGCCTGCCTGCAAATTTTCCTTCAGTTTTAGAAAGGGTTGGGCTTCTTCCAGAAGGAAGAGGGAAGACCATCTTTTTCTCCTCTTTGCTACATCAGCTATCTATAATAGAATGTAACAGATTTCCTTAGCCCATTAAATATACAGGTAGGATCCCCGGAGAAACTGCATAGAAAGAAAATACTAAGTCAACCAGTTACACACTGCCGCTGTAATTTAATATGCACCTAATTTGTGTCTACTTACTCCAAAAGTTAAACCATCCACTGACGCACTGAATATGTACACCGCTGTGGTATAGCGGATAGAGTAATGGACTAGGACTCTAGAGACTAGGGTTGAAATCCCCATTTGGCCATGAAAGTGAAAATCAAAATGCTGGGAGAGCCATAATATTTTAGGATTGGCCTAAGACGCTCATTTAACAAGCAAGTCTGTAGCTGCAATAAATCCTGAATGGGGTTGTGTTTTCCAAACCATCGTTTTCTGGACCATGCTACTTCAGAATGTGATAAAAGGTATCATATGTTTCAAGACTCTCTCTTCATGCACACATACAAGCACAAAAGGATGAAGTAATCCAGCACACTAGAGCTACACTCAATGTCACTGCACATTTTTGAAAAGAAAAAAAAAAACACCACCCCTCCGATCTACAGAATTCCTTTTAATTCTAAAAGCATATAAATATGGGAATGCTCTAACGTCAGCATGACATAAAAGAGAGAATGGGATCCTGTTGGGCGCTAGCCAAGCATAAAACTCAGCCAGCGTGGTAATATGTTGCTGACACACATATGGGGATCCCAGCTGAAAATAGGCAGCTTACATTTGTGGAAGGAAGTCCCTGATACAGCTGCTTCATAAGCAGTTCAGCTCCGGACGATACTGCACGATAATCCTAGCATCTCATTTTACATAACAGATAGATTGGCTCAAGCATGGCTGCTCTTCCAGAACCGAGAGGAAACAGTGATCTTCCTTTATAGCAGCCACTAGATTGCACTCCTATTCTGTGCTTTGGCATTTCTTTTCTTTCCTTCCTTCCTTTTTTCCAGCTGTGCAGGCACTGATGACAGCAAACGAAAGAGCCTGGTATACTTAGGAGGAAATATTTGCACTGTCACCCCTCTAGCCGTCTACAGTCAAAGAGGGGGATGGTGTGTGTGTGTGCGGGGGGAGTGACATATCTGCTTCTCTGCTGGCTCTTAGCTGTCACCCACAACTACAGGCCTCATTATGAGGCAGCTTATACCCAAGGACACATGTTCATGCTACAGTGAGGTGTCAGGGCAAAATGTGACAATGCAATGTCAGGCAGAAAGAATGCAGTTCTTCCTCAGGTTTAAATGCCCTGCTTCCTGCCATTCCAAATTGTCTGCACAGTCCCCAAATATGACATTTTATATTATATGACAAACAGGGAGATGAAGGGAGAACATTTACATATTGTTCACAACCTGAAAGGTTTACTACCTGTGAAAAAGGACTCTGCCCAGCAAAGCTAGTATCCAGTTCTCTTCCAGGGCATCACCACAAACTTAATTTTAAAACAAAGTATGCCCCCCCACCCTTGGGATCACAGATGCCAGCTGAGGCTTAACGCAAGGGATCATCCATTTACATCAAAAACTCCCACATAAGGCATGGAGTTAAGAAGCAAAAGCAGAGATGTAAAGGAAGAGAGGCAGAACCACGGGTGCGAACAACAGGGAGAGGAAAGCACCCACAGTGATGGGGAAAAACTACCTCCTGCCTGAACTCTTTGACCTGCTGGCATGATTCATTCAGTTTATTTTTACTTCTCTTCTCCCTCCAAGTTCAAGCCCAAAGCAGCTAGCAACATTATACATAATCTCAAATGCAATAATTTCAAATGACAGTGAAAAACTATACGAAAGATTATCCGGTAATAAAGCAGGACAATTAAATGTTCCAGTTGAATCCATAGGGAAAGGCCTATTCAGTTAATAAACAACACAAAATAAGAGTGTGGTGCTATTATACCATTATACTTAAAGCACTCTCTGGACAGTTTACAATTTAATGATGAAGGCTACACATTGCCTCCCCCCTCCCAGCAACCTGGGTATTTAATTTGCCAACCTTGGAAGGGCAGAAGACTGAGTGAACCTTGAGCCAGTTACCTGGGACTGAACCCGGGTCATAAGCAGAGTTTTGGCTGCAGTACTGCAGCAGTTTAACCACTGCGCCATGAGGTTCCTTAAAATAACAGAACACAAATGCCCATTCTTTAATGCTTCCCCTCTATGATAGTTTCAGCCACTTTGCCCATATGTAACTGTCCATGGCTGCCAGTAGACTCCCAATTAGAAATGTGCAGATTTGTGTTTTTCGACTATGACTTCCAGCATAGCTGCCTAGAGAATTCCAGGAGTCAAAGCCCAAAAACACAGATCTGCACACTTCTGCTCCCAGTCTTGCTGAGCCCCGAGTGTGTGCCAGTTGTGTGAGTGATGCCTCTTTGTAATAGCTGGATGTGTTGCTGCTCTGGTCTGCTCAGTTTAACTGCCTTAATTGTATGAACTGTAGCAGCTGCACAGATCCACAGATTCACCAGCAGCCTCTTCCACATAAAATCATCTTATGGGGAACCAAGAAGTAAAAGAGCCAGGACCTGGATTTTCACTACACTCTTATGAATCACCTGAAAGTACACCAAGTATCACTGTTTTTTTCTTAGGCTCAGTTTGATGGCCATTGTTACAGAACATTCTCCTTATTTCCATAACTGAGAGCAAATGCACATACCACTTCTGAATGCACAACTTTTTAAAAATATATTACATCTTAATAGAATATAGCAAGAATACAGAGATTTGAAGAGGGAAAGAAAGAGATAACAACCACACCTTTTTTCTGAAAGCATGAAGTAACTGTTGCTTATTGCACAGTGTGCTGTCTATTTTCTGAATGAAAATATATGGAATGAAATCTACCTGCAAACTGCTCTAACTTTAGCATTTGAAGTTCTCATGAACCTGAAGCATGCAAACTGCTCTAACTTTAGCATTTGAAGTTAATGTCTCATGAAGCTGAAGCATATTTTTTTCATTATGGATGACATGCTACATTACAATAACAGAGGTAAACTTCAAAATTTTAATTAGCAAGGGAATGTGTTCATCTGACCAAAACCTCATAAAAACTTTTAAAATACCAGAAAATATCCCAACTAGCTTTAGTGGAATTTTACAGAATGGAACCTTGGATTGTCTAGCAGCCCCTCCAATCTGGTATCTGACCGATGATTAAGACCACACCCTACCTCATTCCTGAACATTGCTCAATCCAGCTGAGACTGATGGAGAATATAATCCATAATATTTGGTCCACTCTCCCAAAAATTTGGGGACCACTGCACGAACACATACAAGTCCTCAAACGGTGAGCCCTTACCAAAATCAGTGCAACGATAGAACAGGTGTAGTACGATGAATCCCTCAGGAGACACCAAGATGACAGAGCAACAACCTGAGAAGAGAAAAGAAAGAATGAAAATCGGCACAGTACCATCCAAGATCTACATTAGCAGCAACCTGGAAGGAAGTGCTACTGGCTTATCTTGAAGATCAGAGAATTCTACACACTGAGTGTAACAGTGGCACTCTTCAGTTAGGAGAATCATACTTCCACAGGTACAAGATACTTTGCTTTAAGTGCTTTGAAAATGCTGAATTTTGCAAAAGATGTGCAACTTTGAAAAAAGACATCTATACCCTACACAACTGAATACTGGGCAGTTTTTGGGGATGAAGAAATATCATCCCAAAAAGCCCCTTATCTCCAAGCTCTGGGCTGGTACACCAAGAATACTGTATCTGTTACGCTGACGTGGCAAATCTGAATTCCATGGGCCACTAAGAAAGCAGCGCAGTTTTTGAAATGCTTAACTTGGCAGTGCTGCTCATTTCTCAGCAGCTTTTAAAAATCACATTCCAACTCATTTCATTCTCATTCTTGCTACATTTGGGCATGTGATTGTAGAGGGCTGGGGTTCATTCTTCTATATCACAGGTGACATGGTAGCTATCGGGGTTACGGACTTTGTAAACTCCCAAGTGCCATGCAGAAGCATTTGTGCTGCAGAAGTTCCTGTGTGAGTTAGGCCATTCAAGAGAGACTAAGGATGCAAATAACCAGGGAGGTTGACGTGGGATGAGTCAGAGTTTTCAGACCCAAGCCCCTTGCACAAAAAAGAGCAGCATTGGAAGAGTTCAACCACACCTAAAACTGCTGTAATTATCAGATGCAGCAATGCCTCATACCAAATTAACACAGCCCTCCTCACCCTTTCATTGCTCCCTTTTATCTATGGACTTCTTCCTTTTTCAATAAATGTTTGACAGGTAATAAAGTACTGAGTTGACATAATTTGTCAACCTAATGCAGTCTCTTTCCATGGGGTAAACATTAAAATAATAGAGGCAGGTGGGTGTGGAAAAGTCTCTTGGTAGAGGGAACAGCTGAGCTTGTAGGAGAGGCAGACCAGAGATGAATGAGAGGTACTGGAGCCAAGCCACCTTATGGGAGAAGATCAGGCAAGGACAAGCCAAAGCAGAAGCAGCAGCAGCTCTGGTAAAAGCTTTCCCTGTATGGGTGTTCCAGATCCTACAAGAGCTTGACACACACACCCCATTGCCATTTTGAATTGAAAAGTGTAATCACAGAGCAAAAGCCAAAACAAATCAATACATGCACAATTGGCATAGAAAACCAGGAGCCCCAGCAAACAGATCAAAATGGGAAAAGACTGGGTTGTCCACTTTTAGCACGGTAGGTGTTAATGAAGCAGAGTTCACCAATAAATCAATAATGCCATGTAACTAAGGATAATAGTAACTGTAAGAAGGATGGAAAACTTAAGTCCATTCAGCAGAATCTATTGTTACCAAATACTTATTTTATTAAATTGCACTAGAAACTACAATTGATTAGTTATCGCAGAATCTATTACCAAATACTTATTTTATTAAGTTGCACTAGAAACTAGAAACTACAACTGAGTATAAACATGGGAATGCTATGTATACAAGTGGTCATCATCACCACATTTTGACAGGTTTGAGATAAACCTGGAGAAATTGTTAATACAGTTTTGTACAGAGCAGTCAAAGACTAAGTAATTGTAAGGACACATGATAAAGAAAGAAGTAAAGTAAGAATTTATGCAGCTGGGGTAATGCAAGACTTACATCAGCTGAGAAAGAAATCCCAGGATTGGCTAACCCTGGGATAAAGCAAGCAGACCCAGCACACATACTCTGTGGTGTTGTGATGGTGTGGCCGTGGAAGGTGTTGTGTTGTTGTGGAGAAGGACTCTGACTGCTGGACTGAATATATGGTATATGACTACTGAATTGATTTACAAGGACTTTGACCTGATTTATGCCTGAACTCTGTTGGAACTGCTGTGTATGACTACGGGACTGGAAACAAGGACAAAGCTGTATGTGTATGTATATATTCTACAAACAAACTGAGTTACATACATCACTACTGGAAAAACCATAGCTTTGACTATGCGGACCAACCGAGGCTGCATGGGGCTGAGAAACTCTCTTCAATCTGCACTCTCTGGGGCAGTCCTCCAAGAAGGAATGGAGCCAGGCAAGAGCCAGGCCACCAATTTCCAACTCGGAGAACCTCCCCAGGAGAATACCGTGGTTGACGGTATCAAAGGCAGCTGAGATATCGAAGACGAGCAATTTTGCCCCCGTCTGCCTCCCTCAGTATCATCTGCCGCCCCGCTTGGTTTCTTCCTATTGGGCCTAATGAGTATCTCCTTGAGGCACTCTCCTGGAGAGACCTATTAACTTTTGCTGTAGCCCATTCAGACATTATAGGTCTGGCTGCTTTGATTGGCCAGGCCAGGCAAGGGTCAAGGGAGGAGGTGGAAACATGACAGCGGTCAAGCACTCCGTCCAGCACGTCTGATGTCACATGCTAAAAGTGGTTAAGTCTCATTGGGCAAGACGGAGCACTGGACATTTCAGCTCAATACCCTGTTTTAAAACAGGGGGTAAGATCCCAGTGGATGGGCTACACTTTTGATTTTAAAAAGGCTGCAAATTGGTCAGGTGAGATGCTAGTGGGAGGCCAGTCACTATGACCAACTCCAGATAGATCGTGAACTGTACAGAAAAGTTCCATCTGCTGGTTGGAGGCTTCACTTATCCGGACCGCAAAGTAAGACTGACTAGCAGCTTTCTCCTTAGATTGGTAGACGTTAGTCATGATCCTGACAGCTATTTGATTATTTTCCGTCGGGTTCCACCTCCATATGCTCTCTAGCCTTCTCCTATTTCACTTCATTGATCGCAGCTCTGGATTAAACTAGGACAAAGGGCAATCTCAGCACCGGAGAAGGTATTTAGGTGCGATCATGCAACAGCCCTGGTGGTGGCCGCCAGCCAGCTATCAACCAGAACCTTGTGCGATCATGCAACAGCCCTGGTGGTGGCAGCCAGCCATCTATCAACCAGAACCTTCACAGGAGCGCCAGTCAAATCAGCTGGAACCCCTCTCATGGTGTCCTGGAATCATATAGGATCCAATAACCTTTGGGGGCGAACCATTAAACACGTCCTTGCTCCCCGTGGGGAGGAAGAGCCACTGTGAGATTGCATTTAATTAGCCAATGAACCGACTATGGCAACGGGACAGACACAAGGCCAGTGACCATCGGAGCACATTCACTCTGCTCAGTGGAGAACACCAGGTCCAGTGTGTGGCCACCCACATGGGTGGGGCCGTTGACGTGTTGGGACATGTCCAAGGAGGCCATGGTCTCCAAAAACTCAAGACCTGGACAGGAAACTTCTCCATGGTCTCCAAAAACTCAAGACCTGGACCGGAAACTTCTGCCTCCACATGCACATTGAAGTCACCCAAGACTGCCTTGGGGAACCCAACAGTGTCACGGAGACGAAGTTTTCCAGCTCCAGCAAGGAAATAGCTGGGTTGTGGGAAGTATGGCAACCCAGCAAGATCCCTATACCATCCCTGGCCCCAATCAACACGTGGAGGGCCTCTAGATCTGTCGTCACCAGAGCAGAGCGCCTAGCAACCTGAAGAGTGTTTTTGTAGACAATGGCTACTCCCCCACCTTGACCCTCCAGTCTACCCTGGTGTTGGACTGCATAACCTAGAGGGCAGGCAAGAGTCAATGGAACATGCCCTTCCCTGCCCATCCATGTTTTGGTTATGCATGCCAGATCTGTATCCTGCTCCAGAATCAGATATTGTATAATCTGTGACTTATTTGATACAGATTGGGCATTCAACAACACCAGGTTTAGAGTGGAGGGCCGACTGAGTTGATTACCTTGAGTCTGTCAGGAGGTCACAGTGCCAGAAGAGTGAACAGATTTCAAGCATCTGTTTCCCATTCTTCTGAAATGAATGGCAACAGCACCTACACCATATCTCCCTCTGCCATAAATCACTCTGATCTTAAAAAGTCCCCCTCTGGGAGGGCAAGCATAAACTTGGATTGGTGCATCCAAGATTGGTGCATAAACATAGATTACGGTGATTTGAAAGGTCTGCCTTGGACTTGTATTGAAATCATTGTATCATTTTTGAGATTGTATCCCAGTACAGCTTTTCCCACTCTTTCGTTGACTATGAGGGCTACTCCATTTCTTCTACAGGATTTTTGCCCGCAATAGTAGATGTGATAATCATCTGAATTGAATTTGTCCATTCCCATCCATTTTAGTTCACTGACACCCAGGATGTCAATGTTTATTCTTGCCATCTCCTGTTT